TTAGTACTTCTGAAAGGGATTTCTCCTGTCCTTTGAAATATGTACAAATATGTCTGAAGAAATGGGCATTTTCTTTTACAAACTACGCTTGGACTAGTGTTAAGACATTTTCTTTGTCAGTTGGCCCAACTCCAGGGACCGGTTCTGTCTCAGGGAGCATTGAAAATCCTAATGTAATCCTAAAATGTGGATGTTGACTTTGAAAGTTCAATATAACTGACAGATGTGTGAAATGGCACACAGAAAACTCCCAGTGGGGGACAATGAAAATGCTAGGATGTAACAACAGTTATGAAAGAATGCAACAGTACAGGGTGTAGCAAAAGTAGGTTTAGAGTTGATCAAATGGAAAATGATACAATAATTAACAAATGATAATACAAGAACAAACTCTGTGTTTCGAGTGCTCATAACTCTAAACCTACTTTTGCCCCATGCTGTATAAGTTCACCTGTTTTCTAATTTTATATGATCCATTTTTTGATGTGGAAATTTATTTTTGTGATACATAAGATTATATTCACATTCATATAATGCCTGCTTTTAAAGTAAATGCCAAAATTACATAGATTTGAAAGTCGGCCTTCTGGGAAAAACTGGCATATAAGTGCACCTTATTTCTCTGCAGAAAAACAGCCTTCTCTTCAAATGCATGATAAATGACCAGTATTTTACCTCTGAACCATGGGTATATCAACCCCAAACCAATGAAATTTTGAAAAATACAGTGATGAAAAAAGTACTGAAAGATCCATTTAAGAAAATAATTTCCTTTACTTTGAATATAAATGTTGTCTTCTAAGCGCTCACTTTACCCAGTACCACAGGAATCAAAGGTTACAGAATGTTTTAAAATACTAAGATTTAGCTTTACTTCAGAACTATAGATGACAAAAAATAAATAATTGAGTTTATATATATAGTTTTTGTATAAAGTTTTTATGTATAGAAAACTTTATGGATCTCCTGCCTGAATTTGCAGTTTTGAACAATCGGCTATTTTAAACAAATGGTAAGCCTTCTTTCCCTTGGCTCATGGATCTAGAGGCATTATACCATTTGTGGTGTCCAGAAGTTTACATTGCCAGCAATGGGCACCCACGTCCTCTAAACTTCGGAGATACTCTGCCCCCTGGTGGTCTGTTCAAGGATGAGCTTTGATAAAAGGTGAAGAAGCTTCACTTCCCACACCCTTCCCCTACCCCTTCTGTAAAATCCAGTAGATGCCTCAGTTGAAGCATTTTCTTTCACTAATTACACATTAATTTGGATCAAAAAATTTCCGTTTAAATAATGTAAAAATTCTGGGCTACTTAATCAGCCCTTCACAGGAAAAATAAGAAAATTAGGTCAATACATTATTATTATTATTATGGCTATGCATGAGGAATGAGAAAGCAGAGAAGCTGAAAATGAGACACTGAGATAAGATGAAGATGTGGTGAGGGACTGTGGACTCAGAAGACAGCTGGGAACCTCTAGACAAGGACAAAGAAGTCAGGAGATTAAAAGTAAGTAAGAGGATGCCATAGGAAATGAAATATTTAGCAATTTCTTCTTGGCCCTTAGAGCTAGTACAAACCATCTCTTCAGCCTTTGTCCTATGGGTACCTGTCTAAGGGGATAAGTGTGAAAGGTTCCTAACCTCTTTCACTTTTAAAATATTTTTAATTTGTTTATCTTTAGAGTGGAAGGGAAGGAGAGAGGGAGAGAAATATCAATGTATGGTTGCCTCTGGTGGGTCCCCTGCTGGGGACTGGCCTGCAACCCAGAAATGTGCCCTGACTGGGAATCAAACCGCAGTCCTCTGGTTCTCAGGCCTGCGCTCAATCCACTGAGCTACACCAGCCAGGGCCCTCTTTCACTTTTTAGTTTAGTCACATTCTCTCATTGTCTCCTTTAGTCCCCTGTCCAGCCTCTTGCAAGTAGCACTGTTTTTCTGTGCTCCAGAGGCCCTGAATCTTCAAGGGAGGCAATGGGGAAATAATGTGTCTCCTAGGAGAGGCATCAGCTGCCGACATCCGAAAAGGCATCGGGTATTTTGATAGGTGCTCTACATGTATAGTCTCTGCACCTTTGGTACAAACTGCAAGGGGGCTTGCAGTATGAGAACAATATAGCTATAAGCTGCTGTATTTGTGATTCAATCCTAGCACTTTCTGATTCCAAAAGCCGTTTTTCTGTCAACTTCTCCAGTGTCCAGATAAGTCAGTTTTCTCCTCTTATGTGTCCTCCAAGACTGCTTCTAACCCAGGTCTTCTGTTTCCTTTTTCTGTATTTCAAGCACCACTCAGTGCCTTGAAATCTTACTACCCAGCCTAGAGATGAAATGGTACCTGCAGAACGCTGATCTAGAAAACTCTTATAATAATGAACCTGACTTACCTTCTTTGCAGAATATGAGATCACAGTTTGTCTATTTTCTTTTAAGTTCTTCCTGGTGATAGAAACTAAAGCCCCCAAACTATGGTGGTACTTGCAAGTCCTCCACAGTGTCTTTTTCGTCGATTATTCTCTCTTGAAGGCTCAAATACCTAAATTCAGCCCGGAATCCAAAGAACCAATCGTCCCCGAATAACAGAATTACTACCAAAAGCTTTTTAGAACAGAAAAAAAGGACTTTTATTTCATTATTTTTCTAAATTTCATCTCCAATTACACATTTGTTGAATGGTGGAACACCAAAGGCAACTTCATGAAATACACATAGTCTGCAATTTTACTGTGTGAGTGAATCATAGTCCTCTCAGGGTTTCCTGGTTAAAGAAGGCAAAACTAAAATGACAGAGAGAAATAGTGAAGAAAATTGTCCTGTAGGAAATTTGTTGAACTCAATCAGCATTCCTTGATGGATGCAGTGTCCATTTTTAAAAAGGAAACTCTAAAATTCCTAGAAACACTGACGGTACTCGCATTTTTGGATGAGTATACAGTCATATAGTGGTGTGAAAATTTGTGCAATTCACAGCATGGAAAATGTTATTTGTTACCACAGCCAATGAAAATATATTTTCATTTCTATGTAAGTCAGACATTTCTACCTCTCAGTTTATGTTCTGCAAAGAAAGCTGTACGGCTCGTTTATGAAACCACCATGCGATAGGCAACAATGACGGAACTTAATAGTTCTAACTGCATACCCCTGGGATGAATGATCCGCTTTGCATAATCATGTGCAATGCAAAATGATGTTTCTAGATCTCTTATAAATACAAGGGTTTGCAAGCTTCTATTTCACATAATATGCCCCAAATCCAGTCAGTTCAGCCAAATAGGCAAAAATTTAAGTGGGTAAATCTACAAAAAGGCAAACAGTCTTTTTTACTAAATTGACCATGTTTTGTTAACATGAAGAGACCATCATTGTATGTGCCAATTACAGAAATCATTTGTAAGTGGCTATCTGTTTCAATTAGCCTAGAAGCTGACTTAATTGTTTCTTAGGCCCAAAGAAAGCACAACTGCATACACATGAAACAATCATAACATAAAAACAAATCGTGTGCCTTATGCACACTCCTCTATGTAGTGACCTAGACTTCTCCATAGGAGAAATGTCACAAGCAAAACAAAACAAAGAAACATGGGGATATAGCAGAAATATAGGCTCATCTAATTCTTAAAATTTCATTTTAAATTTTATCTAAAAATCACTCCAGTAACTGGTGTAAATGTTAATCAACATTCCAACATTCCCTGTTTGATTTAGTTTATGTTTCCCTTTTTATTTAGTGTATGTGTGAAGCTTTGAATAGTGTAGTTCAAAAGTCACTGCCCCAGAGTGAAGGTCTGCACAGCAGGCAAATGGTGGAGTCCAGATCAATACATCTATTGTCTCACAATCTGGATTGGAGAGCATCAAGCAGGGAGTGGGTTCCTTTTACAAAGACAAACTTGCGTACAAGGTTATCAACTGCAGAGAGCTCTCTGAAGAAGGGAATGTAAATCTTCTTGGCATATTAAATGGTCCACATACACAGTTTTTAAAATTTTTTCTGTGTAGATGACCCTTTGGGGCTACTCCTTTTCACTTAGATAATGCATTTTTTAAAATCTTTTAGTGTATAAATCTTGCCCTGTGTTAGGGAGTCTTTAGAGTGAATTTGAGATAATAAGTAAGCACTGTTGTAATTTGAAAAGACAGATACATTTAAGTATTCCTGCTATCATATCCTGCTATCATATTTATTGAGGTATCAGGTTAGTAACAAATTTCTGAGGTGCAAAGGCTTATCAGTTTCTTGATTACCTAGTAAGTTTGAACTTTGGTTCCATGAGTTACGAGGAAAACAGGCTCAATGTTAGTTTCTCTAAGCTTGTCTAAAGTTCTTGCATGTCATTTTCAAGTGATCTTTGTTCCTACCCAAACTTCAATTGAAAAGGGGAAAAAACATAGCTTTTAGGTTCTTACTGCATTTTGAAGATTTTGGAGAAAGGGGCTATTTCTTTTAGTTATTTTGTATGTTAGCACACAAAGGAATTACAAATGGGAAAGAGAGTGCAAATGACTATCAGAAAAAAGTCTCATGCATTTAAGATTTTTTACAAGTCAAAATATACATCCTCCCATTGCCCCTCATTTCTTAATTCAATAAGAACTATTCCTATTCATCAGATTCCCTTACAACTCACTGAATTGGATAAGGAATAAAGATGCTTTTCTCCTTAAGGAGCAGTATGTATCTAATATCATCAGTTTAATCAATTGCATTAATAAGAAACAGAGCAGCTTGGGCTGAGTCACCCATCATATCCTCCATTTATGAGGATTTAAATGTGCAAAATGACAGGTGCATGAAATTAGAAGAAAAAAAATAAAGCAACCTGCAGATTTTGGCACTTGGCACATGTAATGTTTTGCTTGAGTTGTTAGAAATGTGGTTTGACAATCACTAAGTAGGAATTAAAAATCACAAATCTGCAGAAAACAAACAATCGTAGGTGTTGGTTCTCTGTTTAACAGTCCTCATCTCCCATTCCCACCCACCCAATCCCATATAGTTTCAACTGTAATAAAAATAGAGATCTTAACATCGGAATTTTGCCATTAACTCTTCAAGGTTTCTCTGTGCCCTCCAAGCCACACCTAGGGATTGAAGCACCAACTCCACAAGTTTCTCCAACCAAGGTTAAAAAAAAAAATGAAGACTGAAGGATGCCAAAGTAATTGTTCTTAAATGAAGCTGCAACACAAAGTTCTCCCCAAAACACAGGGTATTAAGTGTAGTTCAAGTACTGCCAGGCTTTAAGCATCTGTCTCAGACAGGGTTCAAACCAACACCTACATGTATCACTGGTTCTAGAGGTCATCCTCCATGACACCAAAGCAGGGCAATGATCACCTTTCCATCATCAATTTTTAAAAAGTTGCAAAACCCCCTTGTGATTGGTGATTGGCTGTCGCAGGGTCAGTGCTGAACCTGGGGTTTGAGGGATGAAAGGGAGCTTCCTCCTCAGCAGGGAAGCTCTATCTTTCCTTTGATCAGTTCTTTCAGAGCTCTCTCTCTCTCTCTCTTTCTCTCAGGGCCGTCCTGGCTTCTCAGGATGCATTGCCCTTGCCCAGAAGAGAGTGCCTGGTTCGGACCCAGTAACAGTGAAAGAAAAGTCGACCTACCTGTGGAACCAAGCACAACATGGTCCCCAAAGGCCACTTTTAGGCGACCCCAATGCAATCGACAAGTCAGCTTGTGCATTTAAAGCGTATCAGTTTATGGAACGCTTGTTTGAAATCCTCATTGGACATGGTATAGATAATGGGGTTAATGAGGGAGTTGAGATAGCCCAGCCACGTGAAGAAGTCAAAAATGGCCAGGTGGAACCAGCATGCTCTGCAGATGGGCATCATAAGGGAGATGATGAAGAAGGGCAGCCAACACACAATAAACGCTCCCAAAATGATCCCCAGGGTCTTGGTGGCTTTGCGCTCCCTAGCGGCCATGAGTTTCTTCTTCTCCAGCAGGGCGTCAGAGATTCGCACTTTGACTTGGTTCACAAACACCGGAGACCCCGATTCGCTGGGCATGTCGGGCGCCCGCGAGTTAATAGAGGTGACAGAAGACGTGGACCCAGGGGAGTCGGTTATCAGCTGGGCTCGGGTCAAACGCTTGCCGGTCTTGTTGGGAGTCTGTTTCAAAATCCGGGAGCGGGCTTCCACGTAGATGCGGCCGTAGAGGGCGATGAGGAGCAGGGTGGGGAAGTAGAAAGCGCCCACCGTGGAGTAGACTGTGTAGAGGATGTGGTCGGTGTTCACCACGCAGTCCGACACCTCCTCCTCGGCTTTGGCCTGACGCCAGAAGAAGGGTGGCAGCGAGATGGAGATGGAGAAAATCCACACCAGCACGATCATGACTGCCGCCCTCTTAGGAGTCCTTTTCGCCGAGTACTCCACGGCGTCCGTGATAGCCCAGTAGCGGTCCAGGGCGATGACACAGAGGTGCAGGATGGAAGCAGTGCAACAGGTGATGTCCGAAGAGAGCCAGAAGTCGCAGACCACCTGTCCCAGGGTCCAGCGGCCGGAGACTGTATACATGGTGCTGACGGGCATCACCAGGATGGATACTAGCAGGTCGGTGAACGCCAGGGAGGCGATCAGGTAGTTGGCTGGGGTGTGTAGCTTCCGCGTCCGGTACACAGTAGCGATCACAAACGCATTGGAGAGCGTGGTGGCCAAAGTGATGAGCGCCAGAAATATGACCAGTAGTACTTTCCAGGGCAGGGCGATTGAGTCCTGGTAAATGTAGCCCTCGGCACTGCAGTCGTGGGAAGGATCAGCGGAGAGGTTGGCTTGAGAAACCCCAGTCTGGGAGCCCGCAGGCTGCGGCGGGGCGCACTGAGCGCCTGTCTCCTCCATGTCTCTCCTCGCCCCGGCTCCTCCGAGCGCAGCTCTAGGGCACGGAACGCTCGAAGGACGGGGGGGAAAACTGCGGAAGAGACCACAGTCTCGTTCCCCGGTTGGTAGTTAGTTCCTTAGGTTTCTGAATTACTCCTCCACCCAGGTTCCCAGCTGAAACTAGAGGTCAAGGGCGCGGCAGCCACAGCAGGCGAGCGTGTCCCCTGCACTTCCAGTGCGCCTGGCGCTTCCTCCGCGTCTCTGGCTGCTTCTCTCCACACCCGGTGTTGCTAAGGACTGGCCCACCGAGCCCCACGCCGCATCGGCTTCCACCCAGGCGTCTAGTGGAGGAGGGCCATGTATTGTTTGAGGAGGGAGCATTAGCCAGGTGGGGTCTCTTACCCCAAATGCTCAGGGATGAGCATTTCCTAGCCGGGGCGCTCCTTGAGCTGCAGAGACGGCCCACAGGAGTTTTCTAGCTCTTCAGACCAAAACGTGCAGGCCACTGAAGAGTCCTGGTCATGCATTCCCGCCCCCCTCCCCAGACTGTGGCAGTTTCCTGCAGCGGCCGCAGCCGCCAGAGTAGGGCGGGGTGAAGTCTAGGAGCAGCGCTGCGCAGGGAACGGGGTTCTGCCCTCCCTCCTTTTCACCCGCTGGCCACTCCCGCGAACTGCCCCGCGGAAACGGGGCCGCACGAGGGGGGACTCGAGGACTTGGGCTGCAGCTGCTCGCACCGCGTGGCCAAGGCGGCCACCTCCGTCCCGCGGGCAACACTTGAGTCACGCTGCTGGGCGCACTGCTCTGGGGGACACAGCGAGGCACACGGGGAAGGGGCCGATTTCTGGGGAAGCTGGAGGGAAGCGGTGTGCGCCAGCCTGGCAGAGGCGTGAGAGCCGTGGAACAGATGAGCTCCTTTTATAGGGTCCAGGTCGCTCCAGCTACTCTGGCGGGCGCAGGGAGTGCGGGTGTCAGCTCCAGCTCCCGAACACCTTCCCTTTTCCCTCACCCTCCCTCCGTTTCTCCCGCCCAGTTCCCTCCCTGGCCTACGAAGCTCCCTCCAGGTCCTACCGCCGTCTCACCATTTCGCTTCCTTTGGCTCCTCCCGATCCTGACACCCAGGTGCCGCAGTTTCGGCCGAAAATGGGGATGAGGGCGTCCCGTCCTTGCCTCTGTCTGCTTCAGAGGTTGCTGCGCGCGTCTCCAGTTACACCCATGCTCTCAGTTAGGAGCACAGGCACAATCTCGGCAACTACCTACAACCACCCACCCCAGCAGGCTTGTGCTTAGGTGGAGTTTAGCCCCAATCTCTGACCTCTCTCCTCAGGAATTTTTACCAGCCCTGCTGGCCACACCCAGGTTAGAAGGAGGCGCCAGTGATACAGCCTAAGAAGGAAATGGCTATCAGTGCATTTTATATTGAATACCTTGGGCATAAAGTCATACTTAACTCTTGCTAAAATACAAACTAGTTTTTCATATCTGGTTTTAGGAATAGTACTTTTCATTCAATCCCTCCCCTTTAACTGTTTAGTCAGAAAAAGAAAAGAGCTGTGTGCAAAAATGTAAAACTATCACAAACAGAAGCTCACTGCATGTCAAATTAAACCTTCAACTCCACCCTCCTGCTCCAGCAGCTTAGCAGTTCAGTGCCCCTGGAAAACAGTTCTCAGAAAGAACAGTGATTTCTGCAGCCTACCTAGAAAAGAGGTCATCGGGATTCAAGAAATGAAAAACAAAACAAAACAAACAAGTAGCTCTGGGCCATCACCAACAACATCATCAATGGGTCTCCTTTGCCTTCAACAAAAACATCAGGGTATCAAACATATTTCAGCACCAAGCAGTAGCACTAGTCCCTAGGTATCATGACCAGAGCCTATCCCCTGTGCCCAGCCTTAACAGAAACAAGTGTAGGGTGGAAGTACAAGTCAGTTATTGAAAAACACCAGGATGAACAATGTATTTTCAACCCTGACAGCTGACCCAACTACGAGTTCCCAGAGCCTGGTTCAGTGTTTGTCGCAGGTAGAATGCATCCAATAAAATAAATAATTTAATGAATAAATGAAAACCTACATTGTAATTGAATTTATCAGGTTAAATGTAAACATATTTTAAAGAATATTATTCCATCTATTCTAGAGCTGGAGATTGTCTGATTTTCCACCCATCCATTCAGTTTGTTGTTGTTATGTTTGTTTAAGTAATTGAGATCCTTTGAAAGAAGAGCTTTTATCCGAGGTGACAGAACCCTAAACCGAGATCCTCTAATTCCTCATCAGTAAGCCAGGCAGGCAAAAATAGAGTGCCTACTCTATGCCAGGGCATTCTAGGCACCAGGGGAATCAAGTTCAATGGGGTCGACCCAGACCCAGTTTTCAAGTAGTTTATATTGTCAAACAGGCAGGCAGACAATAACCACATAAGCAAGTAAATAATAACATGCTTTCATATACTGCTAAGTGGTATGAAGAAAATAAAACACATGCATGCATTAAAAGTGAGGGTACTCCTTTAAAAGGTGGGCGCTCTCCAAAGACATCCTCGGATGGCCCTGAGCTGCAGCGGCCACTCTGAGAGTAAACACACAACCTTCTCTTTCCTCTTCTCCCTTTCATAGCACTCAACACTGTTCTGGTAATATTAAGCCTCATTTGCACCACATTTTAAGGGGTCCTGCCCATCTTCCCACTCTACCCATCCACATCAAGCTTCTAGCTAGACTTGATTATTTAGCAAACTCTCATCTTTCTCTTAGAAACCACAGGGAGGAAAGCAAAGCAGGGAGCCTAAACCATTAGGTGTGGGTGCTTTGGCCAGAATGGAGCAAATACGTGTGCCGGGGCTGGGGTGCAGGAAACTATTCCCCGGCTAATTTCAGGGAGCAGCAAGATTAGAGAGAACTGTTGAACTGTTAAGAGGCAGAGTAACGCAGAGAGGAATGTTAACGAGCCGCAGGTAGCCTGCTTTTCAATTTCTGCTCGAGTAGCATGCAAAGGAGAAAACCACTTGCTCCTTCTAGGATTTAACATTAGCGATGGAGAAACCTGTGGCTTTCTCCAGCCACCTTTTCGTTTCTTCGCGGAGTCCCGGACCCCAGTGGAATCTGCCACTCTGGATGGAGTCTGATTCCCTCACCCCCTACCCACCTTTGGTTACGAATTGCTTGAATACATCCAGCCCCAGCGGACATACAGACAGGATTTTGACAGGGCTTAGTGGAGAACCACTTTTCATTAATTTGGCTCCTGCATTTTTCACACACTCCTTTCACGCTTGAAAACATATAAAATGTTAGTGTTTACACACGGGCGCGGGCGTAATAAAACTGTCAAGAGAGCAAGGCACCTTTAAAGTTGCCTCTGCCCGGGTTGCGCGGGCTCTCGCACCACCTGGCTCTTAGGTACGGCCCCCAGAAGCGCTAGGACAAGCCTCCCTTGAAGTCTGAAGGAAATTCAGCCCACACAGACTGCGCGAGGGGCAAGGAGAATCAGACATCACAATGGGGTGTCAGCGCAGTAAAAGTTGGTTGGATGGAAAAAGCTCTTGTTTGACCACGTGGCACGAAAACTGCGCATTTAATGTGCTCACCTCTTCTGCTTCACACGGGACTTTCAGCGGCGGGGGCGGGGGGGTGGCGGTTAACACTGGACCCCCAGGGAAGCCTGGGGTCACAGACGCAGCCTGACGCTGTGGTGTGGTGCTGAGCGAGCGGAGAGGACGAGCCCCTTTAAAGAAACCTTTCCTGTGTCTGAAAGACACGGCGCTGCTGCTGTAGTGGAATGAGAGGAGGCAGAGGCTTCCAAGTTTGCAGCAGGGTACTAACTAGACTGAATGCTCTGAAGAGAATAAAGGAAAATGCAATCTGCAATCTTACGTCCTCTATTACCGCCACAACTTGAAAAATACACAGGCAGTCTTCATCACAAAATGTGAAAACCTGACAAACTGCTTCTTAATGCAACTCCTGCTTCCTCAATCTGTGGCCCCTGTTTTTGTTTCTTCAGCTCGTTTGTGTTTAACTCCCCCCTCCGCCCCCGCCCCAGGAAATGGACTGCAGACCTTGAGCTCTCGGTGTATCCTCACGTGTAGTTTTAGCTCTTTGCTGGCTTCCCTTTATGTTTTCTCCAGTAACTATTCTTTACAAATTTGTTGGTAATATTGAAAGTACAAGATTATTTCTTGCTTGATGAAACAACAGAAACGTTTGGATGAATGAAGATTTGAATACAAACATAGAGATGTATACGTATAATTTTTGCAGACAAGTTCTGGGTGGTAACAGACCTTGTGAAGCTCAAGGTACCCTCCACATTCATTGACCCCACATTGGGCCTTTGACTTGGCCTTTATGTCATGGTACTTATGTGTTGTGTTCTTCATAAGGGATTTTTAAGCCTTGCCAAATAATAAAATTAAGTTCTATATTTTCTAAATTCTAGGATGGCACAAATTAATCTATGATAATTAGTAACCATGTGTTTATGTATAGATAGAAATATCATGTCTGTATTCAAGGAAGAAAGTAGACAAAAATGAGAGCAAAGAGACAAAACTTAGACACTTTCTAATGCCTGTCTCCGTAGTAACAGGCACTTTGCTCCTTTCAACAGATAACTTCAACAGGTAGATTACTCCTTTACTCCTGCAAAGCTGGTCCAGTTCCAGCCAGTAAAAGAGCTAGTTCCCAACTAAGGTCCCAATCACACACACATTTCCTGGCTGAAGACCTAGGTCCCAACAGAAAATTTCTAACCTAAAACTTAAGGTTATGTAAGCAGAGGTTGCCTGGAGGAAATGAATTTTTCTTCTTGAACAAACAATGGAATGTGGTGATAAGAAATTTTTGGATGGAAAAATAATGCCAATAAATCCACCAAACTGAGGAGAAAAACATGCTACTTTAAGTTGGCAGCATCATTAGGCAGCTCTGTTCAAGATGAAGTCTCTGCACAAAAATTAATTCACGGACTGTAATAATGAGGTTGTCCACTGGCCTCAGGAAAAAGGCAATCAAAACGGGATTTTGTCTTATTTTCAACTAGGAAAAATTGCATCACTTGTATTTTCAGTGTTGCCCCCCCCAAAAAAAGTTTAATTGTTCTTGACCTGTAATTAATAAATAATAGCCATTACCCTTTATTGAACACTATGTACCTTATGTTACCTGTTCCATATACATTTACTCACTTAATCCTTACAACAACACTAGGAGTTGTCATCATCATCCTCATTTTCTGGATGAGGAGTTTGAAGATTAGGGAATTTAAGTAAGTTTCCCAACGTCAGACAGCTGGTAATTACAGAACTGGTTTTCGAGTCCAAGTTTGTTTAATTTTAAGGTCTGAGACTTTTTGAATAGTCTGCACTGAGTCAGCCACGCAGCTCAGCATCAGCAGCACGCTCAACCATCCTGCCTGCGGCTTTATTTCATCCTGCTTGTGAGAAGCATCACTGGCCATAGCTGTTTAAGTCTCCAGAATAATTTTCTGTTAGATGCCTTCATGTTTTTCAGCGTGGGAGGAGCTGGTGGTGGTAAAATTCATGTAGAAAATTGTGTACTATGATGATGGTTAGCCAGCAAATTATCACTTCCAAAGTAATGTTGATAGGTGATCACACACGAAATGTTCCTAAATCCACAGCCCAAACAGAAACCAATGAAGACTTTCACTGAAAATGGTAGAAGACCAATTTAATCATACCTAAAAGCAAAATAGAAAATTTGTTTCAAGAAGAGTGGGGCTCAAAAAAGGTATTGAAGCACCAGGCGCTGGACAAAGAAGAGGTACCACTGAGCTCGAGCAAGCGTTCTGGAACACCATCAGGGCTTGGTGCTCTGTCCTTCTTCTGTGGTTTGCTGTCTGGCATGTTGGATTATTTTATCTGTTTCACTGCAGATGTGTTTTATCCGCACCATGTGAATCCACACCACAGCCATTAACACCTTTAAGAATTACATCTTTCAGTTTGAATCATATTTCAGAAACTAATCTACATCTGTTACAGGTTCAGTAATTCTGAGAAATGTATTCTACTCTTGAGTAAAATGTAGGAAACCATGACAAATTGACAGTCCAGAAATGCAAAACAGGACAAATTAAAAGCCCAGAGAGGAACAACCAGCTAATGATTGCTGCATGCTTTATTTCCTTTGGACATTTGCTGACTCTGGGCACAAGCTGTGGAGTAGACTTGGTCCAGGCAGAAGGATTTGCCTGGGAAGAAAAACAAGCAATGCTTTTGACACTTGTTGGGACCGGTGTGAAAGATTTGAATTTAGAACTTCAAATAGCCAGTTTTCCCTGTGG